TTCGTCGAGGTATAACGCAACCACGGTTTTAGAAAGACAGTGATGGAGGAGATGGAGTCCATCGAGGAGAACACATGGTGCTTCGCGAACCTCCCACCCGACTGCAAGGCGATCAAGGTGAAGTGTGTGTTCAAGGTGAAAAGGGATGAGCACAGGGCGGTGTCCAAGCACAAGGCACAGCTTGTGGTTAAGGGCTACGCACGATGGTATGACACCGACTATGGCGATGTGTTCTCACCGGTTGAAAAGTTGGACTCGGTGCGCCTCTTCATCGCCCTTGCGGTGCACGAGGGATGAGAGGTACACCAAATGGACGTCAAATCGGAGATCTTGAACGGCGACCTGCAGGAAATTCGTCGAGGTAGAGCGCAACCACAGTTTTAGAAAGACAGTGATGGAGGAGATGGAGTCCATCGAGGAGAACACATGGTGCTTCGCGAACCTCCCACCCGACTGCAAGGCGGTCAAGGTGAAGTGTGTGTTCGAGGTGAAAAGGGTTACGCACAATGGTATGACACCGACTATGGCGAGGTGTTCTCACCGGTTGAAAAGTTGGACTCGGTGCGCCTCTTCATCGCCCTTGCAGTGCACGAGGGATGAAAGGTACACCACATGGACGACAAATCGGAGATCTTGAACGGCGACCTGCACGAAAAAGTCTATGTGGAGCAACCGACGACTTCATCATCGCTGAGAAGGAACACAAAGTTCTCAAGCTTTGGAAGGCGCTTTACAGTATGCATCAAGCACCGCGAGCCTGGAACAAAAGCTAGACGCGACGCTGATGTCACTCGGCTTCAAGTGGAGCACGTTGAAGCACGCCATCTACATTAGGCAGAACGACGAGTCACAACTTGTGGTCGGGGTCTATGTTGATGATCTCGTGATCGCAGGTTCGAGCTGCGGTGATATCAAGTCGTCCAAGAACGATACGGCAGATGCTTTCAAGATGAGCAATCTCAGCCTACTGAAATAATACCTCGACATTGAAGTGAAATAGAGTGCAAGGCGAATCTCGCTCAGCCATGATGCCTATGCTGGCAAGATTCTGGAGACGAGTGGCATGGATGGGAAAAATCGTGCCTGGTGCCTACGGAGGCACGACTGAAGTTAAGAAAATTCATCTTGGAGCCGACAGTCAACCAGACAATATACAAGAGCATCGTCAGGAGCTTGATGTACTTGGTTAATACTCGCTCCGGTCTGGCTATTACTATTGGTTATGTTAGCTCGTTCCTAGAGAACCCACGTGAGGATCACCTTGCTGCCGTGAAGCACATTCTACGCTATGTGGCAAGAACACAGAATTAGGGACTTTGGTTTGGCAGGAAGGAGGATAAAGAAGCTCACTTGACGTATTTAGTTATAGTGATTACCCCGGGGATGTTGATGCTAGCAAGAGCACAACAGGGGCGATTTTCTTCGTTAGCAGCAACACGATCACCTGCCAATCCATGAAACAGAAGGTGGTGACAATCAAACTGTGAGGTGGAATACATAGCAGCTGCAAACGCTGCTAGTCAAGCGTTGTGGCTAGCTTGGGTGGTAGCTGAGTTGCAGGGATCAACACTAAGAGCGCCAATGTTGAGGGTAGACTACAAGTCTGCCATTGCCTTAATCAAGAACCCATTACTCCATGGACAAAGCAAGCACAATCGAGTAAAATATCATTTTGTCTGGAACAACTGAGCGACAAGGGCTTGTTTAATCATCAGGAGCGAAGAACAACTGAGCGACATTCTAACAAAGCCTCCCCCAGTTCCATGAACTGCACTCTAATCAGCCTGATTAGTGTTATCAATGTGCACAAGGCTTAGAAATAGATTGTGGGAAAAATTATATTGAGGATATAATCCTTATGCATCATTAATTAGTTTATTTGTTTTCCTTAGTTGTGTGTTTGCCTATCTTTTGGCATGATTGTTGGCTTTCATTAGTTTTTCCTAGTAAGCCTTTGTAGGCCTTAATTAGGCCCCTTTCTTCCTCTATTTAAGCAATAAGATAGTACTAGAAAAGTTGTAAATTCAACAGCACTAAATAAGTCGCGTTCTCTTATGTTCGCGCGATTATCTTTAGTGTCTTGTGTTTTGGTTGTGATCTCATCTGCAATTGGGTGTTGTCTCTCTAACATTCATCATGACTGATTTTCACAAAACAAAATATATTTCAAAGCTGAACAATATGTGACAGAACGACAATGGTGCTTGGTTTTGCAAAAAGAAGAAAGTCATATTATTTTACCAAAAGAATAAGGAAAAAAATTATATTTTACATATCTTACTCTGGTTTGATGGTAATAGCTTGTTGACAATTCTGAATGAGAGCTGCAATCTGAGCAGAACTCAAGAAATGAGACGCACGAAGAAATCTCCCGTTGATGTGTGGAGTCTCCATGGAGAACACGTGTGCATCAATGACATCTTCGACGTGTG